TTCTTTCTCTCTTTCTCTCTCTCCCTCCCTCCCTCCCTTCCCTTCTCCTTCCTTCCCTCCTTCCTTCCTTCCTTCCTTCCTTCCTTCCTTCCTTCCTTCCTTCCATGTGGGAGGATCAAACCCAGGGCCTTGTGCATGCCAGGCAAGGACTCTACTGAACTACACCCCTAATCCCTGAGGTTTTGATTTTATAGGTTGGGGGGTCCCCCCACTGATTAAGCCTTACCATCCTGTTTCTCACTTGGGGGGTAGTAGATTTTTGAGTTTCAGGTTCTAACAGGGTTTGTTACATTTGGCTGTCTGGATGCCAGGTGCTCAGGGAGGCCTGGAAGGGGGGACATTTGGAGTGGGGAAGCTTCAGGGCAAAAATAAGCAGCTCTGAACAGCTCAAGTAAACACCTTCCTTCCCCTTCCCTATCTTTTGGAAGGGTTAATGTGGATTGCGTTCCCTATATCCTGATATTCCACTTTCCACACCCCTTTCTTATTCAGCCTGTGGAAGCATGGCTATAATAATCTTAGGTGGCAAGATAATGTTGACTTAGGGCAACTAGCCCATCAGCTTCTGGCCAGACTGTTACTTGGTAAACAATGGCAGTGGGTCCCGTGCCTCTTTAGCTGTTGCTGCAACTCTGCAGAGAACATTTCCATTATCCAGGGGGAAATGAGGTGGATTGTTTGCATATTATAATAGACAAGATTTTCTGTCTGCAACTCCTAGAAGATGGGAGTTATTGCAACAGTATACACAGGGCTTCTGCTACCGTCTAAATTAGGTCTATTTAAAGAGGAGTTATTAAAATAGAAATATAGATTTGGGGTTGTTTAAAAGACATTGAGATGCGAATATAATCAGTATGATCAAAAGGTTTTCTTATCACTTATACTAAGAAATCATGAATTTAGTCTTTATATTTGTGGATAAAACTAGCCTAGAGGTTTTCATTAAAATAGTAATTTTTAATCTTGGTTTATTCATTTGTAAACACGGTACCTCATTAGTTCTCTACTATGACAGATGTGTATATATACATGTGTGTATAATAAAGCTTGACTTGTTCTCTGTATGTAAAAGGGAATAATTGGACAGCTTACACTTCTTCAAGAATCCATTATATATAAAATATTTGAAAAATACAATTAAATTAGATTAGATTAGCTTTTTCAGTGGGATAATAATACAACATATAAATATCCAATAGATCTGTTGTTGATTCAGCATAAAACTATTGTTTAAGAACAATTTTATCCTTATTAATTTCTACATATAAAAAGACAACAGCAATTTCCCACTTTTATTTACTGTCTCTGTCTTTTATTTTCCCACTTTTATTTACTGTCTTAATTATTATCTGCCAAAACACGGTATGACTATATGTTCTGCTTGATTTGATTTTCTTGAACATGTAAGTGGCCGGCCTCATCAAGGTTCTGGGGTACAACATTTTCTAAATTAGAGCATGCCCTCAGAAAATTAATGTAATGTTAGTTTGAAAATCACTATCCATCATGACCCTAATCCAAATAATCACAGTTTTTGCTTTTCAAGTGACTGCTGCCAGCTTACATGGTTTATAATTTCCATCTCTCATAACTTCCTTTCACCGAACCTGAAAATTGCTTTTTTCCAGATGCCACAGAAAGAGTTGAAATAGTGGCTTCAGTTCTGTCTCTGTAATGGACATGTGTTGGGGGGGAAGCATTTAAACTTTGTGATTCTCAATTTCCTCATGTTTGAAATGAGTGTATTAGTATTTTTGCTGCACATTGCAGTGATTTCCTGAAGACCAATTGCTCTAATGGATGTACTTGTACATCGATCATTTTCAAGCTCTAAGTGCTAGGCTGCTTTTAGTAGTTTACACTGATGGTGGGGTTTTAAAAGTACAATCGAAAGTCTGTTATTGTTTCATCTGTCCCAGTTGTAGCAAATAATTTGTAGTATTTAGTGGAAAGTGCGTGCTCATGTTTGGAAGCAGATAGCCATGGATGTAGTCTGGCTTCCATACACATTAACCAACCTCAGCTTGGTTTCCTTATCTCTAAAATGGGGGTAGTGTGTTCCTGGCAGGATTGTGGTAGGGTTGATAATGAAGGTAAAGTGCTTAATAAAGGATGTCTTCTGTTTTAGAAATTTAGATAAAATGTAAGTTATAAAAGTAGTGGTTCAAATATGTGCAATTATGGTCCCTCCCTAATTTTCTTTTCTGGGCAACTAATGTTGGTGATTATTTATGCCAAAAAATATTAGCTGTTTACGTTGAGCATAGCCTGCTCAATGATTTGAAGGCATGGGTGTGTCTAGCCCTTAAGCTTTTTTTTTTTTTTAAAGCCTGGGATGGTTGTTTATACATCTACAGACCACGTCTAGCATTTAACATTAGGGTGGATGGGGGTCCACCCTAATTGCAAAGTCTGAAGGTTGCAGAACATTTTTATATCTGGAAGCTGTATTTTGCATCTTCTTTTGGTTATTTCAAATTTTAAAAACTTTTGCTTGAGTAACAGGTAATTTCAGGTTTTAATGATTTTGATTTTTTAAAACATGTTGTTTTTTTTTTTTTTTTTTTTAGGAGGAATAGCAATCACAAACAATTCCTTCCATTAACAGAGGAGCTGAATCACTATGTATTTATATGTCTATATACATGTTGATTTATTGGTATACGTTCAGGTATTATTGCTTGTATTGATCTATTTTCTATTAGTTACTTCTAATATTCAGAAACAAGCATTGCAGTTAGGCTCTTTCTCAAAATCTAATCTGTCCGATCGATAGGGCAGCAATGAAACTTGACCTTGATTTTTGAAGATTCAGGAATAACTCTCTCTTTATGAAAGAATAACAACCATGAACCCATTTTAAAGCCTTTGGTCTGTGGTTAGCCTCCTCTAGCGTGGGGTAGGCTGGGGATACAGTTTCCATCATCACAGCCTCAGTGTAGGGATCAGGCATCTGTGATAGACTCCTCTTGGTGAGGTGTGTGGCAAGCACTTTCCTGAAAGAGCATTTTCCTAAGGAGCCCGGCCATTTGACCACCGGGGAGTTGACAAAGCAATCTTCTTTAACTTGGGTTCTCCTTGATAGTCCACTGAAACAGCTTTCATTTTGAGTCATGGTCAGTTGTGTAGGACATTCTCTTATTCAGGAAGTGTGACCAGAGTGGAGAGAAGCTGCAAGCTGGGGTCAGGGGAATGAGCTGCCATATTTGTGCTCTTTTGGAGACCATTGCATACACTTGAGGATGACTGGAGAATCATCTTCCCCCCATTTTGTTCCAACCCATATTTTCCCATAGGATTCCAAGTTTATTTGTTGTGTTTCCTTAACTTAATATTATCCAGGATAAACTCGTCTTTAAGAGATTTCTTTTGCCAGGCATGGTGGCACACAACTGTAATCCCAGAAGCTGGGGAGGCTGAGACAGGAGGATTCTGAGTTCGAAGCCAGCCTCAGCAATGGCAAGAGCCTCTAAGCAACTCAGTGAGGCTCTGTCTGTAAATAAAATACAAAACAGGGCTGGGGATGTGGCTCAGTGGTTGAGTACCCCTGAGTTCAATCCCCAGGACCAAAAAAAAAAAAAAAAAAAAAAGGGAGATTTCTTTCTGTTCAGTATCTTGTCTACCTGAGCCTTTGATGTTGGGAAAGAACTTGTGTTCTTTACATAAATTTCTAGGTTTAGAACAAATGTAGGACTAGCAAGAATAGTAAGAATCAGGGGTGAATAGTAGGGCAAGAGTTGACAATTTGGGATGTCTTAAGTCTGAGAGAGTTTTTTTTCTGGAGCCTTGATATTAATTAAATAAATAAATAGAAACTGAAAGCATCTTATTCTGGAGGCATTCAAATAATTAATTATTGAACAAATTAAGAAAATTTCTAAAATGCTTTTCTTTTTGTTTTTAAAAAGTATTTTTTAGTTGTAGATGGACACAATATCTTTCTTTATTTTTATGTGGTGCTGAGGATAGAACCCAGTGCCTCACACATGCAAGGCAAGCGCTCTACCACTGAGCTACAGCCCCAGCCCTAAAATGCTTTTCTTCATCTCTTCCAAATTGCCCCTCATTAAATCATAAAAGGTTACTTCATTAGAATGTATATCCTGTGTACTGCTGTTTTAATTATGGGTTTGGGGAAGTTTTCACAATTAGGCTGCAAGACCAAAATAAAGCAAAGGTGCAGGAAGTCCAATTTAGTCATTTTGTTGATATGGTCTGTTGTGTGTGTGTTGACTGTTGGTGTGTATTCATTTCACAAATACTTTTTGAGAGGCAGATGTGTCCCTTATGTTGCTCTGGGTGCAAAGAAGATGCTAGAGGCAAGGTTTTGATCCTTGGAAGCTTTTAGTGTAGATAACAAAACAGTAAATAGGAAAAAAAGTACAAATAATGTTAGACGATGATCATAAGTGGGAAGAAAACAGATTAAAGCCGGAGGTTAAAGACAGTGGGGTTCCAGGCCTGGGGTCAGGGGAAGTGTGGACTACGTGACTTCCCACATTATATGACAGAATGAGCTCCCCGAGACCTGCAGGGGGACAGCAGGTGAGACCTTGTGTCCTCTGCAGGCAGTCTTCAACTGGAGAGGCCCAGTGCCTTAGGGAGGGAGTTGCGGGTAGACTTGAAAGAAAGAAGCCCTGGCCGGTTTGGGCAGGGGGCGGGGTGGTCTGATTTACATATTAAAGGATGACTGCTGGATAGAGCTGGGAGGATTAGAGGGCCTGAGGGGAAGCTGGAGCCGCAGTGTGTCTGTATGGCTGAGGGGCTGGAAGCCTGGGTCAGGGTCCCAGAACTGGGGCCTTGGTGTTTGAGCTGGGGGAAGAGTGCAGGCCCTTTGGGAAGAAAACAGCACTCACTGATGGTGTGGCTCTAGAGGGCAGAGGGCTTTAGGGGGGTTCTCCTTGTCAACAGTTTATAAAGATTTTAATTGGCTTTATTTGCACTTTTTCAATTAGGCAGCACTTAGTTCCATAAAATCCAATGAGTGTTCCCATGTGCTAGGCAGAGATTTGTTTTATAGAGGGAGAAGGGCAGAAGAAAGCAGAAACAAAAGAACAAAGAGCAGATGGTGGTTTCAATGTAACTTTCCTTGTAAGGCAGGGACAGGGAGTCAGAACCATAGACAAATAGCTGATTAGTTAACATCAGGTTACTTTAGGCTACTTTCCCACCCCTAAGGATTAAAGCCCAGGGAACTTCATTATTATTGAAACTGACCTGTTGGGGGGGGCATTCTGCTATTATCTCTCTCCTGATTGCTTAGAAGGTCACAGAACAACTTAGTTTTGATTTGGTGACATGGAATTTAATATGAATGATATCATTTTAATTTTTAGCCTGGTCTGTTGGGGCCTAGTGTGGGAGCTTAGTCCAAAACAACATTTATAATTTTTTTTTTCATCATCCGGTGTTCAGATTGTTTTTGTGTTGGTGACAAAGAATGGAGATATGGAAAATAAAAGAGAGAAGAATGGGAAAAATATAAACTCCATGTATATTTGAAGGATATAAACTCAATGTGTATTTGAAATAATGAAAAAATAATGAAAATGTTTCATTGTTCAATAGAGTCATGTAATCAAAGCTGAGATTTGTATTGTGGAACAGAGTTTAGAGACATTTGCAAGAATGCTATATTTCCAGGGTAAGTTATTATCTTATTAAAGTTTATGTTCTTTCAAGGTAGAGTTTGTCTGAGTCATCTTAGTACCTAACTTGTGCCTTAGAGATACAGGTTTAGGTCAGTGTTGAGTTTCACTCTAAAGATTTAGTTATCTGCAAAGTTGATTTCATTTTTGATGGTATTGAGAACAAACTGGGAGTGTAGCCAAAAGGCTACAAAGAATAACACAGGCTGGATTTTAGTTTCTTTGTCTATGAGATTTGAACAGACATTTGGTAATATTATTTCATGTGAGAAGTACTATATCACACAGACATTTCATGAGCTGATGGGATAGGATGTGGATGAAGGAGAGAGGTGCCATCCTTTCTAGATGGGCGTCACTCATAAATATGCTCTGTCTGGTTTCTTAGGATGAGTTGGATGAACTCCGTGCTGAGATGGAAGAGATGAGAGATAGTTATTTAGAGGAAGATGTTTACCAGGTGCAGGAACTTCGGCGAGAACTGGACCGTGCTAACAAAAACTGCCGAATCCTGCAGTACCGTCTCAGGAAAGCAGAGCAGAAAAGCCTGAAAGTGGCAGAGACTGGGCAGGTGGATGGTGAGCTTATCCGAAGCCTGGAGCAGGACTTGAAGGTGAGTAGGAGGGGTTGATGGAGTGGGCATTCCCGAGGGGCTGCTGTGTGCTACATCATTCCTCTGAAAATGTAACCTCCAAGACCTCTCATGCAAGGGCTCTACCACTGAGTTACCCCCAAACCCTATCCCTAGCAAACTAGTACACATGTTCCTGATGTTCTTTTTCTGCTTATGTCTTTCTCAATAGATATCAGCATAAACGTACTTGGTTTACTTTATGCTTTAAAAGGTATGTGTAGTCATATGACTTTGATGGACCAAGATTTATATCTGTCATAAAATGAACTGAACTAAACCTTAAAAAACATCATAATAATGAATCTATAATGAAAAATAATTAATACCAGCCATTTGGTCTGACAGTTGGATAGAAATTGTACAGAGAGCTGGGCATGGTTGGCACATGCTTGTAATCCCAGTGGCTTGGGAGACTGAGACAGGAGAATCACGAGTTCAAAGCCAGCCTCAGCAACTTTAAGGCGCTAAGCAACTCAATGAGACCCTGTCTCTAAATAAAATACAAAATAGGGCTGAGGATGTGGCTCAGTGGTCAGGTGCCCCTGAGTTCAATCCCCCGTACCAAAAAAATAAATAAATAAAAATAAATAAAGAAAGAAAAATAAATTGTACAGATTTCCTAAGGATCAGAAATATTTAAAAAAAAAATCTGTTGATTGTCAAGACAAGATGTCAAGAGCCATTCTTCAAAGCTGACCATCTCCCTTAATTATTTTTATGGTTATTTAGGTTTCTGGGATTCAGAAAGCCTGAGATTGCCCTACTAAAGTGAGACTTTTACAGTGGTGATTTAACTGAAGGAGTAATAGGATAGTAACTAATTGTTCAAGCGTCTGTGAAAACCAGTGACAGGAATGGGAATGAGGTGAAGAAACCCCAGACTTTGTACCCTTTGCTCACCCTACAGACAGCAAAGCTTCTGCCATGACCTGGTTATCAAATCATTTATCTAGATTGAATTATGCATAACGTCCTCCTCCTAATGGAAATACTTGTGAAATCTCTTCTAGCCTTTTATTACAACAGGAAAAGAATCTTTATAATTCCATCAAAGTTATAAACCACTTACAAAATGTCATTCAATGTGATAAAGGGTAATTTATATTACTTTTACAAAATCTCTGTCCTCATTTGCTTTTAGAAAATAGAAATGTTTAATTGCTTTGAACATTCCAATGTTTCAGCCAAGCTAGAGCCATAGTAGAAAATTTGAAATTTCACTACATTGAACATTTACTGTAACAGAATTACTTGATTTGTTTCTTTCAGCAGACAGGCTTAGGAGTACTTTAGGGAAAAGAAGTATTGATTTGTTTATTAATATTTTTAATTTATCATTTAACGCATTGAGCCTGGGGCTGGGGATGTGGCTCAAGTGGTAGCGTGCTCGCCTGGCATGCGTGCAGCCCGGGTTCGATCCTCAGCACCACATACGATAAAGATGTTGTGTCCGCCAAATACTAAAAAATAAATATTAAAAATATTCTCTCTCTCTCTCCCTCTCTCTTTAAAAAAATAAAAATAAAAAATAAAGCATTGAGCCTGGGTGGGATTACCATTCTTGGTGCTTTTCTATGAGGAAATGGTGCTATTCAAAGTGGCCTTTCAATCCACATAAAAGTCTTATTCTTCCTCATGATATTAACTTCATATTTTAAATTATAGACTAAATATCCCTATGTGAAGTGCTTGGACCAGAAGTGGTTCAGATTTTGGAGCATTTCAGATTTTGGAATTTTGGATCAGAGATGTTCAACCTGTAATACCTTCTTTGGTTGAACTTACGTCTGTTAAATATTGCCAGGGCCTTTGCTATTTGGTATAATACCACTGGACTTAATGATTCTGTCTCTGAAGTTGTCTGAGTATACCCTTAGCACATAAAAAGCTTCACATTGTGATGATGATCTCTGTGTGGTTGATGCAGGTAGCCAAAGATGTATCTGTCAGATTGCACCATGAACTTGAGACTGTAGAGGAAAAGCGTTCGAAAGCTGAAGATGAAAATGAAACTCTCCGACAGCAGATGATTGAAGTGGAAATATCCAAACAGGCCCTCCAGAATGAGCTGGAGAGATTGAAAGAGGTAATACAGAACTACGTGGGCATTCCCCCTAGGGTTTAATTGTTAGGAACTTGGGACTCTGTATCTCTGTTGTGCTACAAAGCAGGAGTACATAAGCTGCAGAGGCCTGTTTGTCTGGCTCAGGGGCTAAGAATGGATTTTACATTTTTTCTAGCATTGTAAACCAATAAACAAAAACCCGCACAAAATAAACCTGCCAAGAGCAAGGAATGGAATAAAGATATGGTGGTTTTTGGTGCTTGCAAAGCCTAAAATATTTTTTTTTTTAATAATTTCTGTTTAGATGAGCTGATCATTAAACCCTTCAATGTGTCGGTAGGGTCTCTTTTTACTGGAATACAGAATTAAGCAGTAGCTTTTTACTTGAGTATTTTCTTTCAATGAGCTGAAAAGTTGTTTTGGTTGCCTGTTAAAGTTCTGTAAACAGATAATAAATTGCTACCTACATATATAACTATTATTCAGTCAATATGATTTACTTATTGGCATTCTTTAATTTTAGCAATGTGGTCTAGAAAATAGTATATGTGTATTTTTCATTTGTATATACAATAATGTAAATCCTAATTTGTTGATGATTTCTGTAATACAATTGAAGCTGAGTGTTTTCTTGGAAAACATCCTGCATATTGATGAAACTAAATATTATTGATGAAGGCTTGAAGATGCTGGTTCAAGCTGGCATGTTACCTGCTGACAGCTTCACTTGGCAGTTTTATTTTTTTGGTGTGGGGGAATTTGTTTCCTGATTTACCCAGTCATTCCCCATCCATCCAAATGTCCTCTACAACACTTTGTTCAGGCCTGACTCTGCGCTCTGCAGAAGAATATGTGCAAGTGCAGTACAGGTCTTGCTCTTGGGGTGCCCATGCTTTAATCTGCCACAAAGATAGCAAAATACAAATTATAGCAGATAAGTGAGTGCTGCTGCCTCTTGGATTCTCCCTCACTGCCTCTGCTCTCAGCAATGCACAGCCATCTCAACATGCTTTTTCAGGTATCCCATCTGCCCCTAATGCCCTCTGGAATGCAAGCTCTGTGGGACAGGGATGCAGCTTTGTCTGTCTGATTCACTGGGGGTTCCTTGTGCCTAGAAGGTGCTGAAGAGATGAATAAAGGGGAAAGATCACAGCTTCCTGGGGCACCTGGCAAGCTTCTGAGAGCTGGCTTTCATCATGGGTGACCCTTGCTCTCAACTTACACATGAATTTGCTCCCTGATGAGAGGGACTTTGTTCTTTAATTGTGGATCTTTTTCTTCTGTACTTATAGTTCCTGGTACTTTTACTCTCTCCTTTTTTTTGGTCTAAACTTTCTTGATGGTATGCTGTAAACTGTTTTCCTTCTTTTTTTTTAATTTTTAATTTTTTTTCCTTGTTCATTATATATCAAAAGCACACAGAATTCCTTACTTATCATTTCCAATTTGAGTCTGATGTTGCAGGTATAGAAAACAATTTAGAAGTATATTTTATAAGTTGATTTGTTTGTGCATGTTTTTTGTGTTAATATATAAATATACATATGAAAATGTATATACAAACATATATAAAATATATAGTCATCCTTTAGTATCTGTAGATTTATTCCAGGACCTCTATAGATAGCAAAATTTGTAATGCTCAAGGCCCTTTTATCAAATGGCATATTTGCATGTAACTTATATATAATCTACCTTTATACGTAAAATTATCTCTAGGTCACTTATAATACCTAATACAATATAAATGTCCTGCAAATAGTTGTTATGTTGTATTGTTCATGGAATAATGACAAAGAGTCTGTAATATTCAGTACAGATGCAGTATATTTTTCTAGAATAGTTTCAACCCATGGTTTAGTTGCCTCTAGGTATGGAACGCCCTGGACACAGAGGGCTGACTGCATGTATTTTTCAAGCAAGCAAAGATTCTTTTTCATACATTTAAATCAATATGTGTAGGATTTGACATTACTTTGAAGAAAACATTGAAAGCAAGGCCAAAGTGAGGCAAGGATCTTTCAATAGCCTGATGTTGGCTCAGGGTGGATATGAGAAGTGGAGAGATCAGCCCCTCCCTGTATGGGTTAAAATTACTCAGAGGGATTGCTCAATTGGATGAAATAAGTATTTTATCTCCAGATTTGTAGTCAGACCAGTGGGACTGCATATTTATATCAAACTTCTAAATGAGTTGTAAAACTGACAGGAGTTTCAGGAGGGTTAGAATGCTGATAGATTTTGCTGGAAGCAGAGAGTGATGACACCTACTGATACCAGATTCAGAGGTTTTGTGGGAGATATTTATTGCCAACTGTTTGTCTCTGTGGATGGGATATTTTCACACAAACTCGAACAAATGTACTATGAGTTTTTCTGTAGCATAAGCATAAGATTTTTCTGATCCCAAACTTTGCTGCTAGTCATTCACCTCAGAAGTTTTGTAAATGAATGTGGGACATCCTTAAATAGGCAAGGACAGTTCATGTTTTGTCTGTGTCTGAGTAACAGAAGTTATTGCAGATGAACAGATCCTAATTTGTTGATGATTTCTATTATACAATTAAAGCTGAGGTCAGTGAAACAAAGCAGCTCCATGCAACTTCATCTCTGCAGCTGCCCCTGGGCCTTCTCCCTAAAGCTCCAGACAATTTTCAGTGGCCTGGTGGATATCTCTAATATGAACTTTTCCTAGCACTTCTGACTCGGCATGTCCAGCTCAAATTTACCACCCCTCGTGCTAACCTGCGCCACCTCTTGCCTCTCGTGTATGTGTGATGGTACCACTATCCTTTTAGTCACTGAGGCATATGATGGCAGTGATCACCAACTTTCTGGTTCTCTATCTTCATTTGCTTGCTAAGTGCTTTAGGTTCTGCTCTTCTGCTTTTGTAGTTTTAGGAATTTTCTTTCTCACTGACACATGATATAATGTGGATGGACTTTGAAAATTTGCTAAGTCAAAGAAGCCAGACATAGTGTATGATTCAATTATAGTAACCACCCAGAATAGATAAATTCACATGGATGGGATACATTAGTAGTTTCGGGGCTGGGGTTGTGGTTCAGTGGTAAAGTGCTTGCCTAGCATGTTTGAGGCATTGGGTTCGATTCTCAGCCTTCATATGAATAAAGTCATTAAATAAAGGTCCATTGACAACTAAAAAAGTATTAAAAAAAAACAACAAAAAAACATTAGTAGTTTCTAGGGGTCAAGGAGAGGGAAGAAGGGTGACTAACTGTGTAATGGATTTGGGTTTTGTTGGGGGGTCATGAAAATGTTTTAGAATTAGATAGAGATGGTGGCTGCATTACATTGTGAATGTACTAAATGCAATTGAATTGTTCACTGGAAAATAGTTAATTTTATATTATGTGAATTTTAAAAAAAATATTAATTTCTTAGTTGTAGTTATCAATACCTTTATTTTATTTATTTATTTTTATGTGGTGCTGAGGATTGAACCCAGGGCCTCGCCTGTGCTAGGCAAGCGCTCTAACACAGAGCCACAACCCCAGCCCCATATTATGTGAATTTTAACTTCAAAAATTTTTGTCTCTATTGTAGCCATATTTTCATCAGTCTCACCTCAAACAAATATTTGAAGGCTGACAGTGTACATTAATGCTACACAGTATTTCTAGTTTTTCTCTTTTACATCCCAGAAGTGTTCCTCTGTGCTTAAACAAACTTGCCTTGGACCCAAGTTGTTAACTCTTAAGAATGACATAGGGGACCATTACTACTTGACCCATCTTCTTTCCCTATTGGGTTTCTTATTACTTGGCTATAAATCCTGGAGTAAAAGAAAAGAGCATTTCAGAAGGATGACAAGGGACTGTATCCTCTGGTCCTCATTGAACTAATAGAAGTATATTATGGAAAAGTTACCTTCTCCATTGATAGATAAGGAGACAAGAGGGCTGACCTTTCTAGAATTATCCATTCTGGCAAGCCAGATTGCCTGCTTGCACTCTGTTGCCTGTTCACGTAGGTGCCCACACCTCATTCCACTTGTGCAAAGCTCAAATAATTGCTTCCTTCCACATTATTGCACTCAACTCTGGGGGAATATCTCAAAAATTGGAAGTGGTTAACCTTATCTTAATTTCCACATCTTAAAGATTGATGATATGCTTTCTTTCAATACCATTTCATTCTGTCTTGAGTTTTTTGAGTGCCTATTATAAAGTAGACCCAAATAATAAGTAGCTACGTTAGTTAGTTGGCACTTGCAAGGGAGAGAGACATGTGATAGATCATGCCAGTGAATGAAGCAGGATTGTTGAAAAGGAGTGTCAAAAGGCAAATTAGGTGATGTATCTCATTGACTTGTATTTACCATTCATAAATTGTGACAGCTTCCATTCTGTAAGATAGAATGAGAGCTCTTGCTGGTAGAACAGTGGATTTTGTAAAGTGGGCACTGAGAAAGAGAATTCTAGGAAAAGAACCTGATGGGTCAACTTCAGGTTGCTTCTCTGTTTTTTCTATAAGCAGAGGGGCTTTCATATCATGCTGGCTAAAACTGGCTTTTTGGAGGTTTGGGTTTCATTGGGTGCTATTGTCTGTCTCCTGCTTTCTAGTAAGATCAGATAGACATTTTAGTTTTGATGTGGTGGTGTGGAGCTTCATCATGAGTATTCCATTTTGTTCTGGTCTGGTGTGGTCAGTTAGCTTAATACAGGAACTCAGTCCAAACCAATGATCCTTTGGATTTTTAACTGTAACCCACACAAGAAATGCATTTTAGATCATTATTCAATATACAAACACAAACAAAGATTTTACAGAGAGATGCTTATCTTTGTCATGGAGTGGAATCTGATACTTTCAGTTATACTCAGTTTAATTCATTTTTTAAGGGTGGTTATAACATTGACTTAGTTCATCAGTGGATTGTTGCAGTTTGGAAAAGTTTGAAAAAAATCGTTTGTTAATTGAGTTGTTCACATTTTCTGTATCCATAATCCCCCATTATAATTGTGAGCTTTAATTTTCTTCTCATAATTTGTCGAAT